ATTTCTGATGATAAATCTATTACTGAAACACTAAATGAATATTTTATAAATATTGGAATGAAGATGGCTGCTGAATCAGCATGTCAAAGCACTGATGCTTTAAATGATCAAGTAATTTATGAAAGTACTGTGCTTCTTCCTAAAGAAAATTTTTACTTCGCAGATATTACTATAGATAGTGTTTCCAAACGCCTACAAAAACTAAATGTCTCAAAAGCGACAGGTATGGATGGAATACCTGCGAATATTTTAAAACTGACATCAACCCTTATTGCTCCATCTATAACTTTTATATTTAACCTATCGATTAGAACTGGTATTTATATAGATGAGTGGAAATTAGCTAGAGTTATACCAATTTACAAATCTGAGGATAAGCGTAAATGCGAAAATTATAGACCAATTTCAATTCTTCCCATAATAAGTAAAATATTTGAAGGGGAAGTTTTTACTCAAATATATAGCTTTTTGAATAAACATGCGCTTCTGTCTAAATTTCAATCCGGGTTTAGACCAAAACATGGAACCTTATAGGTGCTCTTATACAAATGTGTGATCAATGGCTACAAGACATGGATGAAGGCAAAATAAATGGAGTTGTTTTTCTTGATATATGTAAAGCATTTGACTCGGTGAATCACGAGATATTATTGGAGAAGCTTAAAACCCAGTTTGGAATTCACGACATTGAATTAAAATGGTTCCAATCATACTTAAGGAATAGAAGCAAGTGTGTTCTGTTAATGATCAAACTTCTTCTGCAAGAACAATAATATGCGGAATTCCGCAAGGATCCATACTTGGTCCATTATTGTTTTTGCTATATATTAATGATATGCCTGACATTAATTTTAGAAAGGACAACCCCATGTCTTTATGCCGACGACACTCAGATATCTTCCTCTTCGCATGATTACGATACATTGATTGACAATTTGAATATGGACCTTTCCAGTATTCATAAATGGCTTGCTAAAAACAAACTAAAATATCATAGGAAAAAACAAAAGTCATGTTTATTGGATCTACGCATAATCTAAATCATAAAATAGGAAATAGAGCCGTTGAGATTAACAAAATCCCAGTCCCACAAACCAATACATTTAAATGTCTGGGTGTAAATCTAGATGAAAAATTAAGTTGGGAGAAACATATTGATTCTGTATGCCATAAGATTAGCGCTGGAATAGGAGCAATTAAAAGAATAAAACCTTATGTTCCACACAAAACCTTACATGATGTCTACAAAACATTAATTCAGCCTCATTTTGATTACTGTTCTCCCCTGTTGGATAACTGTGGTTTGGGACTTCAAGACAAATTGCAAAAATTCCAAAATCGAGCAGCAAGGGTGATTACCGGAGCTGACTACGATGTAAGATCGTCTGAAATCCTAAACAAATTAGGCTGGGAAACCCTGGCTAGGAGACGAGAACAAAACAAGCTAGTATTGATGTATAAAGTCTTGGGGAACCACACTGCGCCAAACCTTAAAGATCTTTTTTCTCGGAGAAATGCATCGCAGAATATTTATGATTTACGCAATAGCGAAACTGATCTCTCGTTAAAAAAACCAAAAACGGAATTTCTAAAGAAAACATTTGGATACAGTGGAGCAATTCTATGGAATAGTCTCCCGCAAGATGTCAAGGCGGCTGAGTCAATTACGTCATTTAAAACAATGGCGAAATTGCATTTAAGTAGATGATAAGCTAATTTCTCCAGGACCAAATGATGGGAGGACAATATAGATTGTGGGCGGGAGGGGGGTTAGTTTTGCGTGAGGGTGGGTGGGAACTTGTTTAGGGGGTGGAGGTTTGGGAGGAAGATGATAAAATTTTAGGGTGGGATTCTTACATATTTTGTTCTATATATAATTAACATTTAGCTCTTTGTGTGTATACGCCCTTCGTGGAAACCAGTTGTAAATAATTGTCGAGGTTAGCGTATTGAAATAAAGTTTTACATTACATTACATTACATAACGTGCGCAAAAAAGCCATATAGACAAGAATATAGTCAAGGCTTTATCCAAGCACTTTTGCTGACCCCCGTTTTAGAAAAGAAGATTCAGTTTTTGTGAGACAGGAACGTAGCAAAGAGGCAAAGTCCCTGAAAGGTTTTGCTATTTCCGCATCTTAGACTATGTTGCCGCTTCGTTGCTCAGATGTAACCGCGTGGTTAGTGAATGTAAACATGGCGCGCGCAATATGCATCGATGTACTCATATTCGAGCGTATTTTTTCTGCGGCTTTTTCACTCTTCCAGCTCAAGGTTGTGTAAATTTTAGATTTTAGTTGAAAAATTTACTTTCTATTTGTAATATTAAGTTTTTTGTTATTCTTCAACCACTCCATTTCATTTTGTGTTGATTTGATCGAAATATTTATCAGAAATCCAAACATGCGTGCCATCTATAAGCATGGTTGACACAAGACACAAAATATACTATAGAGGTAGCTTTATAACATAAACATGTCGTTTTTTTGAAAAACAAAACAGCTCAAATAACCCTGTTTCTGGGAATTCCAAAAACTAAAGCGTGTGAAAATGATTTTTTCTTGTTTTTTCTTTTCATTGGGGGAAATATTCAGTTTAAAAACTCAAATACTCAATCCAAGATTGAGTTTTAACCTCCGTTTACCGGAGGTCAGTTGATGCTTGGATAAAGCCCTGATTATAGACATAAAATTTATTTAAGAAGTACTAACGCAAATATGAATAAATTACTATTTACAATATCAAATTACAAGGTGATAGGAATGCGGAGGATGGGGG